AGTAAGAATTTTAAGGTCGGAATGCAAATATCTTTATGAAGTGAGTCATTGGTGATGAACGAGGAAACATCTGATAATAAACGTTGATATATAAATTGGAAAGCCCGAGTTTTTCTGGCTGAGCTCTACTTWTACATTAATTATTTTATTTACAATTACCTAGCTCTCATCTGATCGATTGCTCTGGGAGGTAAATTACCATGAACTACAGAAACATTAACACCAGCTTTTTCAAAAACTTCTCCTTCTTGCATTACACATGTAATTCCACCACCTCCTTCAGGTCTTAACCATCTATCTACTTTAAACTTTTCTTTTGGTTCTTCTTTTTCTAGTGCTCTACAAAATTGAGCCTAGAAATAATCCAACATTTTAATAAATAAGTAGGTATATTTAAAAAATTTAATTTACATAMATTTTTTGTTACTTACTTGTATATCCATAATCATAAGTTCCATGATTGTTTTCATATCTTCAGGTTTACTTTTTAATGTTTGTGAATCTGTAATAGTGTCTGCCATAAATTTGTCAATAGCCAATGATTTTGCTGCCACAGTACTGTATGATATGCCTAACGCAATAAGTGTTCCAGGGATTAATCTACAATTGATGAACATTAAATATCAATAATAAAGCATAGTTCAGGATTATAATTTTTAATTTTTCATAGTATATATAATTAAATCTAAAAACTACGAGGGCGTACCCAAAAGAAACCAAACTGATATTGTGCGGGACAGAGTATTAGTAGTACCGCGTTTTTGCCGGTAAGGGTGTATAGACATACTTCTCAACATTCAGTATGCCAACGGTCGTCATCGTAAAAGGTTGCGTTACATTGGTGTAATGGCTGATTTGCGTGAACAGCGSGCGGCCATCAAGTTTTGCTTCCTGCTCGGGAAAACGGGCACAGAAACCCTTGAGATGTTGAAAACGGCTTACWAATGTGATGYTTCAGGGAAAATTCAAGTATTTGAGTGGTTTTCTAGTTTCAAAAGTGGTGAAATGACRATAGAAGATCAAGCTCGCTCTGGACGTCCTTCGACGTCGTGAACCGACAAAAATGTAAAAAATATTCACAAAATTATGCTGGAAGATCGACGGCAAACCATTGAAGAAGTAGCGGAGAGATCTGGTGTGACATGGAGTCAGTACAGAGAATTTTAAGTGAAGATTTGAGGATGAGACGGGTTGGCTGCAAAATTTGTTCCTCGACTGCTGACTGAGCAGCCCTTTCTGTATGGCGGTTTTTGACCAAAAATGGTATGACCACTGTGTTCCATCCACCCTATTCACCCGACCTGGCTCCCTGCGACTTCTTTTTATTCCCAAGAATGAAAAGAGACATGAAAGGAAAGCGTTTTGCGGACATCAATGAAGTAAAAAAAAAAAACGAGGGAGGCGTTGGCAGACATCACAAAAGATGAGTTTAAAAAATACTTCGATAATTGGAACAAAAGATTGTTCAAGTGCATTAACTTCAAGGGAGAGTACTTTGAAGGAGATTAAATGTTTTTTGTAAAAAAATTAAATAAATAACTTTGTACAAAAATAGTTCGGTTTCTTATGGTTACGCCCCCATATACAACAGAGTTCTGATCTTAGTATCAAAAGCTATATTATATAAACTTTTTGTGATCTAGACAAATTATTTTTATAAGCACTTGCCTAAGTTTGTTGTCATCCTTTATCTTTAAGCACGTTACAGTGAAYACCGTCTTAACGGTGGAAGATATGATGTTCAATATCATAGTTTCGATGGCGTATATCACGTATGCCTACTATGAAATTATGAAACACAACTGTAAACACGTAACCTCTGTTCAAAAGAACAACAATTGTAATTAAAAAATATTTTCGTGGCGACGATTATGAGAAAGTTTAGTACTTATTGCTCATTGGTCTGTACAGACATTGTATAATTTATAGAATTATTATTATGTCACTGTTGTCACTGTTAAGTCTCGCGTCCTAAATTATAATATCCCGTGCCTCGAATCCATAAGTTTAAAAAGTGCCGTAGTTTCCCGCACGGTACCTACGTACGACAAATATTTTATGAAATCGTGTTATACCGATGCTCCGTTGTGATAAAAGATATTGATAATGCCGCAGGTTCTTTTCGAAAATTTCTTATCAGTGATAGTATTGATAGTATAGTACTACACGACTACGACACCGTTGTAGGTATGATGGACTACGTGATGTAAATCACGTCATGACATAGGTAATATAAGCATTCTTATATATTATATTATCTTGGTATGCGCAATGCACAGATATAGAATATTCTTAATATCTATGGCGACATGCGTTGGTATTGTTGGTAAGAAGAAGAAACTATGTAAGAACACTGACTTCATGAAAAAAGTCTGTGGTAAGATTATAAGTTAGATAGGTATTATATTATAAGTACCTATACAATGAAATGTACTTATGTAGGTACCTATTATAGCCTATAGGTAGTAAACCTATGTTATTTATTGCTTACTGTTTGGAGGATCAAAACCATGAACAAAGATAGTTCATGGTAAAAAATAAAAATACTGGTGGCAACCAGTAAAAATATCCAACAGTCAAAATATTCAAGTTTGAAAATTTAGAAAAACGTTTTAGAAATAAACACAAACCTTTTAAAATGCTATAGGTACTCAAATAATATGCAACAAAATATAAGTTAAAATGTAAAATAATTTAATTACGTGGATTAACAGGTAACATTTTCTAATGAAATTAGTTTGTAAAATTAATTAAACCTAGATACGCTGTGGCTGTATTACTATTAGTAAAATAAACCATTTTAAAATGTACAAAAACAAAAAATAGTGGTCATAAGCATAACTTAATTACTTAAAAATAATAATATTAATAAAACCCTTCGAGATACCCTAGATAATATTTTTGCGTCTTGCCTTTAAATTTGATAAGAAGTAAGTTCACTCAAATTTGGAAAAATTCAGAGTAAAACGTTATTGTGGACGTAAAATGCCCGTTTGATAGCAATAATAATTCCATGAAATATACTTTCCAACACAGATTAAAAGCTTAACTAAGGGAGAGTTTTAGGAGAGGGAGATTTCRATATTAGGAAAAAAATTTCAGGAAAAACAGTCCGAATTAACGGAAAACGAGTCCGAAAAAAAATTATTTTTAGGAGTGTTTTCATATTTTAAACGAACAAGTCTATGTATATTAGCAGTATTGACGTATATTACGGTATAAATATTACAATAAATTATGCAGTATAATAGTGTATATAATAATAGATTGTATACAATTAATAAAAACGGTAAAAATAGTTATGGTGTATGATTTGCATATACAATCCAGCATAAGCTAAAACAGTATCTAATACATAACTTAAAATGGAAATATTCCCAGAAGTCATAAGAACAATTTTCTGGTGCATAAATTACCGAC